AGAGTGAGAGGAAGAAAGAATAAGTGACTGCAAAGAGGAAAGAAGCAAGAAAGAGGTGCTTAAGGACTAGTTCACCCTAAATTGGAAAATTGTTCTTTTACCTGCATCACTTTTGTTTTTCTTTCACTATAAATCATACTCTCGGCTATAGCTCTAAAATCTTGCGTTTACATTAGAATATGGCACATCAATAACTCTAAACACCATTGGTTCTCATGTATCTCTCACTGTCAACTACCAATGACATCAAATCTTGATGCACCATACTGGAATGCACACAAATGTGAATGAAATCCAAGACACTGATTTTCTGTCTTTTTAGGAGCTCATTTACCTTGGTCTGCATTCACTTTTATTGTACAAACTACACTCTTCAAGGAATGGTTCACCCAAAAATGGAAATTTGCTGAACGTTTACTCATCCATCCAAGATTTAAATGAGTTTGTTTCTTCATCAGATTTGGAGAAATGAAGCATTGCATCAGTGTCTCAGCAATGGATGCTCTGCAGTGAATGGGTGCCGTCAGAATGAGAGTCCAAACAGCTGATAAAAACATCACAATAATCCACAAGTAATCCACACCACTCCAGTCCATCAATTCATGTATTGTGTTGTGAAAAGCTGCATGTTTGTGAGAAACAAATCCATCTTTAAGATGTTTTAACTTCAAACCATTGCTTCTGGCCAAAATCTGAGTCCATAATTCATAATAATGCTTCCTCCAGTGAAAAAGTTAATCTCCTGTTGTCTCTCACATCAAAATCCACACACATATTTGTTTAGAGCTGTTTTGGACTGTTTAAACGCTGCTTGATCTGTGCAGATTTCTCTCCTGATTCAGACCAGACCACTTTTTCACTGGAGGAAGCCTTATTATGTATAAAGGACTCGTATTTTAGCCAGAAGCAATGGTTTGAAGTTTGAAACAGCGTTGATGGATTTATTTCTCACAAACACACAGCTTTTGTCTTCTCCAGATGTTAACTGATGGACTGGAGTGCTGTGGATTACTTGTGGATTATTGTGATGTTTTTATCAGCTGTTTGGACTCTCATTCTGACGGCACCCATTCATTGCTGAGCAAATGATGCAATGCTACATTTTTCCAAATCTGATGAAGAAACAAACTCATCCTAATCTTGAATGACCTGAGGCTGAGGACATTTTCAGCATATTTTCATTTTTGGGTGAACTACTGCTTTAAAAATAAAGATTCCAGAAGGCGATTTTCAAAGCAATGCCATTGAAGAACCATTTTTGGTTCCCCAAAGAACCTTTTGGTGAACAGTTCTTAAAAGAACCTTTTTTCTTAGTATGAAGAACATTTTGAAAATCTAAAGAACCCTTTTCCACTATACACTCTTAAAAATAAAGGTTCTTTATTGGCGTTGGTGGTTCCATGAAGAACCTTTAACATCCATGGAACCTTTCCATTCCACAAAAGGTCTTTACAGTGGAAAAAGGTTCTTTAGATTATTAAAATGTTCTTCACTCTAACAACTTCTGGGAACCAAAAATGGTTCTTCTATGGCAAATCACTGCAAAAATACCCTTTTGGAACCTTTTTTTAAATAGCGTAACCCTTTTGTGGAATGGAAAGTTTCCATGGATGTTAATGGTTGTTCATGGAACCATCAATGCCAAATGAAGAACCATTATTTTAAGTGTGTAGAGCAGTGTGAACATTCTGTTAAACATCTTGTTTTGTGCTCCACAGATTTAATCAAGTCATACAGGTTTGGAATGACATGCAGGGTGAGTTAAGTGCTCATTTTTGGGTGAACTGTCCCTTTAATCATGGAAATTATCTGTGCGGAAGATCGCATTTGTTGTTGGTGTCACCAGAGCATGCATGTCTGCACTTGGCTGGGCCAGTGTCACGTTCTGTTTCATCACATCCTCCTAATTCTTCTCTCTTTTTGATGGACGTTTTGGCTCAGCTGCAATTGGAGATCCCATAACGTGCTTTTATTTGCGACGAACAACACAAGCATTGTGCATTTGCATTGCAGCGGTATGTAAATGTCATTAGGCGTTGCGTGCAACTTTCCATCTCTCTCGCTCTGTGTGTCCGTATTTAGCGCATTAACTTTATCGGCAGTGCTGTCAAAGGCGCACAAGTCAGCGGCCGCATCTCATTATGGCGTGAGACTCTCCATCTCAATGAGCAATGCAGTGACTGAACACACACGCAAGACACATCCTGCAAAAAGAGAGGGAACTGTGTGTGTGCAAGACAGAGAGAGAGAGAGGGGTGGGCGGGCATGCATAGTGGTTTGCTGATGTTAATCAAACATAGAGCTGCAAATCTGGTGAAATGGGAAACTTTGATCAGACTCAGATGGGAAGAGGTCATCCCACATCGTACCAGTACAGAAAGACAAGACCGAATACTGCAGTGATGCTCTGAACTGGCAATGAAAGGTACAAAAGCGCACTCAATATGCACTTGACCACAATCTTCATCATGATGACCACAACTCATGCATGCTAAAGTACTCTAAACCCTTGAAAACATTATTCCACCCTAATAATACTGCATGTGCAGAGAATTACAAATGAATCTACAACCATTAAATATCACATTTAAGAAAAAAAAATGCTTAAATAGCACTAGATTTGGACACTTTACAGGGCCATGACCACAAAAGACACTGTCCACCTCAGCTGTCCCCTTTGTGTCCAATGAATTGTACCAATTTTAAAAATAGTAGTCAACCAATATGTGTATTTCCCTGTCTGATTCTTACATTTTAAATTTGATTCCCACAATCTTTTCCTTACAAGTTAATTGGCGTAAATAACGCATTTGGTGCTCAAAAGCACATTTTTAGGGTATTTTAAGGAGAACAGTGCAAGAACGAAAACCCCTAAACCCCAAAACAAAGACATTTCAGCACACAAGGTTCTTTAGGTAAAATAATAGCTTTAAACCCCTATTTGAGACTCATATCTCTGTGTATTTGTATAACGCAGTGTATAAACTAATTATTGTGAATTATTATGCACTATGTGCATCGTATCTGTTGCACTGCGATATTCCTCGTGGGGTTAATAAAGTGCCTACCTAGCGATCATGTTAGAAGTGTAACTCACCGATCTGGACACTGCTGGGAAAAACCCCTTCACTGAGTCCCCACAGCAGCGGAATCAACACCAGGATCCGCATTCTGTTCGAATCAGAACCCGTCCGGACTCATGGATGGATGGATGGAGACGAGATAGTGTGACGGGAGGGAAATGAAAGGAAATAAATGGATAATCTCGCAAAGGGAGTTTCAGCAATCCATCCTACAGGAAATCCGTGTGTTCCCCGCAGTATCCACTGGAGAGAGAAGAAGAAGAATCTGTCCGGAGGAACGCGCGAGGGTGTGTGTGTGTGTGTGTGTGTGTGTGTGTGTGTGAGAGAGAGAGAGAGAGAGAGAGGCGGGCGCCCTC